GAATACACTGAGGAGAATAGTCTTGGAGTTGCCTTTCCTTGGTTGCCCCAAGCTGTTCTGTTGTCATTATATTGGTGACTTGACTTTGGGCAGCTGGTTTTATTAGTGCTGATCTTGGAGGGGAGTGGGTTGAGCTTTCCTCCCTGCCCTGACCAGTGCCCCGGCAGCCGAAGACCTCCAGGACCAGCCACCACCATGCTGAGACCACTCTCCGCACACCTGAAGGTACCGGCAGAGGGACAGAGCCACGTGGGTTCCGGGGCCGAGATCTCCAAGCCTACTCGGATTGGAGTCGAGCATCCTCCACCCAGATCCTCCAAATTCCAGTAGGCGGGGGTCACACCCACCAACTGGCCCCCTGGCGCCGTGTAATCCCATCAGCGGCCAAGACTCAGAGACTATAAAAACCAGCTCCCGGAACCTTATTATAACATCTCATTCCTACTTTGACAAACTGGCAGGCTACTGAATGGAGCCTGCCCACACGGCAGAGTCTGGCAAACTCCCCGTGGCGTACCCAATATGCCAAATACCAGTAACAATGATGGGTCTCATTCTCCTAAAGAGCCTTGAATATAATCTCAGGGCTAGGATGAAGGAGACGTAACTGGGGCCTGCTTGAGGCAATCGACGAATAACAGGATGATCTGTGATCTGTAATCTGTGATCTTGAGTCCATCTCAGAGGTTTATGTCCATGGGTTCTAGGGGCTTGGACTGGGGCAGAGCTCCAGCGGGCCATGCTTATTGGTTTGAAAATAGTTTCTGTATTACCTTTCTTTTCTTTAGTGTTCCCATACCACATGGATAATGCCAGCTCAAACCTTTAGTCTAAATATGGTGTGAGCCTGGTGTGCGATCCAGTTGCTTGATGATGAAATTTTTACTTCCCATCCCAAGTAAACGACAAACAGGACAGCCTGCTGCCCATGGGGAGTATATTGAGGCTCAGTTTGGGACACACTGACCACAAGGACTTGGTGCTCAAAATACTCCACACAAAGGGCCAGATGATCACCTGAGCTTCCATTCAGCTCCCCAACTTGAATTCCTTATTGAGGCATATGTCTTGCTTTTGAGTATGACTCAAATCCTAATATGGGGGCAGGATGTCCCTTTCGTGTGTTTGAAGCCAAAAGAACAGATTCCTTCTGAGTAAGCTCAGTTCACCTGTTGACTAGAAGGAGCTCTTCGTCCTGTGTGTCTCTGTAGGTTAGTGCTCTGGTAGTTGTCTCTCTGCTCCTAGACACTTCTGTCAGTCATTGCTCCTCACTCATTGTCCTCCTGCTTTGAGCATCGTAGTGAAAATCTGTGCTGCCTCTAGGCAGTGGTAAACACCGCAGAGTCAGGAGTGATGTCACATGTGGGCATCATGTTTTGTTTATATGAAGTCAGATAACTGCCAGGGTGCTGCTGTAGGAAGAGAGCCGTGCCCTTAATCATTGCTGCTTTGATTAATTTATTCACTCTCAAGAAAAATATTTATTGAGTGCTAAGTGGCAGATAGTGTATTAGTCTCAGGAAAGACATCAAACTGATCATCAAGGTCCCTGCCTGTTTGGAACTTCCAGTCACCCCAGGATGACAGATCTCACCAAAGATGAAAGCAAATGAACATAGTGCTGCACGCTGGGCTGGGCTGTGGAGGGCGTGAGGAGGCTGCTGATTGTAATGTGCTACTGTTCTTTTCTCTCTCTGCCTCAGTATTCCCTCGTGTGAATGACTTTGGCTGCTTCTTAGTGCCCCTGTAAGTCTGAAATGTTGCAACTATCAGAAAGAACTTTAAAGTGTCACACGAAACCTTCAGATGACAATATTGTGGGAAAGATGAGTGTAACTGGCTCAGTAAGTCTGGGACCCTTCAAAGGAGGAAATCTCCAAACTCGTGATAGGTTGATAAGTGTTTAACAGCTGACTCAACAACAACAACAAAACATTCTGCTAATTCTGATTTGTTTGCTGATTTATGTGCTAATGTCCATGGTATAAATATTTCCACCAAGGCTGATTTCAAACTACAAATGCAGGGAAGGAACAGGCGCAGCACACTCCAGCTCCAGCACACCGTTGCTCCCAGCTGTTGTGGGATATGGGTGACAAAGCGTTGGGGTTACAGTTCACACCATTCCTATTTGCCTTTGGTTTAAGAAACAACAAATCAGACAGAATCATCCTTAGGTTTGGGGGTTCTCTGGAGGGCTTGGAGGGTTAGATTTAGGGTTCTGGGCTTAGGAGGTTCCCAGCAAGCCTGCCCAGTCTTTCTAGTCTACTGTGCCACTGAGTTGTAATCTTGCACAGCGTGAGAACTCAGGTTCTGGGGTTTAGAGGTCTGTGCACAAGCCAGGCCCACTGTTCCTGGCCACGTGACTTGGGACAAGTTGCTAACCTCTCCAAGACTCTTTTCACACCTATGAAATGTACACTAGGATCCTGGCTTCCTTGAATTTTTGGTGCCTTCAGAGCTCCTTCCTGTATTATGCCCAACGCTGTGCTGGTGGTTATTGAGACAGTCCATTCTTCTCAAATCTTGAGTAACAAGTTAGGTACATGTGCTGGAGCCTAGCTTGCCCCTGGTGTGGTGAAATTTGACTTCTTTATCCCCCGTGCTGTGTTTCCGTGCTGTTTTGCTGCGACTCATCCCTGAGTGGACTTTCACCCTATCTTAGTCACCACCCTGTGGTGTTAACTTGAGTCTCCTGCTTGGCTCTAGGAACATGTTTGTAAAGTAGGCTAAGTGCTGGGCTTCCCCTCATGCAGTTTGCAGGAGGCCTATTCTGGCCACCTGGAAGCAGTGGTGTGGGCTTGGAAGACCAGCTTCATCTGTGTCCTCAGCCCAGGCTTTGCTTATGTAAGAAGAACGAGGAGCCAGAAATCATGAAATCAGATTTCTTCCAACTGCTTTCCACCTTTTCCATCCCTCACAAAATCAAAGCCATGAGGAAGGGTGGCATTTGTTTTCGTTTGAAAGGGGTGCCCCAAGTATGCTTTTGGGGCCACTGGTTGCTTCATCATGGGATGCAGGCGTAGGCTTTCCTGCCGAGTGGAGTTACACCCTAGGAGTTGACATCCTTATCTTTTCTTTTTTTCTTTTTTGGTTTTTGGGCCACACCTGGTAATGCTCAGGGATTACTTCTAGCTCTGCACTCAGGATCACTCCTGCAGGTGCTCGGGGACCATATGGGGTGCCCAGGATTGAATCCAGGTCGGATATGTGCAAGGCAAATGCCCTACCTGCTGTACTCTCAATTCAGCCCTACCCTTTTCTTACAAAGGGTCGGATAGTAATTTTTTTAGGCTTTGGGGGCCTTAACTGTCTCAGTCCAGCCCTGCTGTTCTGATTTACAAATGCAGGCAGTGGGCTGAATGTGGCTTGAGGGATGTAGTGTGCCAACTCCTGTTGGCCTTCAGACTTTTGAGGGTCAGCAGAGAGTAATGGGAGAGAGCCTGACCCTGGAGTCAGGCGTCTGCAACCCAGCTCTGCTGCTTTCTGGCTTGGTACTTGGCTAGTCACTTCCTGAGTGGCAGGAATCTCTGCCCCCTGGTGTCCAATGGGAACATGTGTATGGCGTATGAAGAGGGTGGCCCGGTGAGTTCCAACTGCCCTGCCCTCCCCTGGTTCTCCCTAACCTCTGCTTGTCCCCTGCTGGGAATGACTTTTGATGCATGGAAGGCTAAAGCTCTTTGGAACTTGATTTACTTGTTTATTTTTCAAGCATGAAGACTAAATGCAAAAAATATGTGGCCTTCTGTAGGCTCTGAGAAGGTCACTGTTGTTGCCTTGTTGCCGAGTGCTGGGCTTTCACGGCTGAGTAGGTAAACAGTGAGACTGAATGGAACCAGTTAGACAAGTCAATCTGAAGTAAAGATAAGGTTAAATATCGGCTTTGGTGGACTCAACTTGTTTGGTAGCTTTTATAAGGAGACAGCTTGCTGATTGATGAGGAAGGCCAGGACCAGTAAATCCCACCTCTACTCAAGGACTTGTGGGTCATTAACTTCAGCAAAGCTCTCAGCCCATCATCTCTTTGAGCCTGCTATTGTGATGAACATCACAGGCTGACAGGCAGCGGGAGGTACAAAGACAGGCTGGTACATTTCTCAGCCTACAGAAATGCACAGCCTATAGTTAAGGGCAGTGGAAGGATGTACAGATAAGCTCATTTCAAGGCAGAGCCACCCAGTGGCCCTCTCCCTCCTAACCCAGTGGTCTTTGATCAGGACCTCGACTCTGCCCTGCCCACCAAAATTCCTGTCATATCTTCCTCAGTTCTGCTCTTAGTTCTGGCTTGCACTACCCCCATGCATGTTATTCTGAGCTAATTTGTTCTTTTATTTATTAAGAAGGTGTTTGAGTAGGTAACTTGTGCTTAGAAACACAGAGTAATGCTGAATCAAAGGGTCTAGTTACAGATTCCCTGGTCTTTGTGCATATCCAGTCAGACAAAGCCCTCAAAGGAGAGATCAGATCCAAGAAGAAACTGCGCCAGGTGCTGTCACCCAATGTCACATTCACCATTATAGTTATTTTTTGGCAGAGGATATTGTGTTTTTATCTGTTTTAATTAAACATGGCAGATAAATGAGGAAAGGAAGGGCTGGGAGGGATGTTGACATTGCCCTTCTGATCCTCTTCTGCAGTCTATAATATTTGGTTCATAGTTAACTGCTCTGTATTTCTACCCTTAAATTACTGTTGGATCAGAATTTTATTCTACAATGAATTTTGATAATTCTTTATTTGGAGTAGCAAGTGTGTGTGTGTGTGTGTGTGTGAGAGAGAGAGAGAGAGAGAGAGAGAGAGAGAGAGAGAGAGAGGGAGAGAGAGAATTAGTCATTACAGTCTTTTAGTTTTTTTAATTAGACTTCAGTTTAAACATCTTTGTGAATGAATTATAACTTAAAATTTTTTTCTAAAGAATGTATTTACTCAACCAGTTAGACTAAGTTGTTTGAAACCAGTTGCTTCTTTGCTTAAATTGCCTGTGTTGATTTTCTTGAAAGGTCTTTGAAGCTGTGATATCATGGATCAATTATGAGAAAGAAACTCGTTTAGAGCACATGGCAAAGCTGATGGAACATGTCAGGCTCCCCCTCTTGCCTAGGGATTACCTTGTCCAGGTAAGTGCTGTGTGAAGAACTACGCACTCCTCTATACTCACCCACACACACATCAGGGGGAGCGGGCATCCCTGACTGTATGGAGGTGGATTGTACGAGGTCTTTTACGAATGGTGGGTATGAACCTAGTGCATTAAGTATGTAGTTTGGTTATGTAAGGATTGAGAGCTTGGGTTTGAGAATCGAACACCAGTCTCAATCTTGCCCTACTACTTATTAACTTTAGCTTTTTGTTTAATCTCTTTCCGTTTCTGTTTCTTTTCTCCATTGGAGGGATACTGTAATAGAGCCGCACCAGATTGTTGTGAGGTATTTAGAATGGCCTAACATATACCAAGAAAAGTTATGTGATTTATTGTAGGTGACCAAAGCTAGGGGCATCATTTCCTTAATATTTCTGTGTTAGCTCTTTGTCTTAGTGTTAGGCAATTTGGAGCTCATTTCAAGATGTAAGACTCCACAAGTATCCAGAAGAAATATTGCTTCCACGTTTTTCCTGAGGAAAAAAAGAAAAATTAGGAAGTAATGGCTATTTTTGTTGGGCTAGAGCTATAGTACAGTGGTAGGGCATTTGCCTTGCGCGCAGCTGGCCTGGCCGATCCGGGTTTGATTCCTTGCCCCTCTCGGAGAGCCCGGCAAGCTACTGAGAGTATCTCACCTGCACGGCAAAGTCTGGCAAGCTACCCATGACTTATTCAGTACGCCAAACACAGTAACAACAAGTCTCACGATGGAGACATTACTGGACCCGCTCGAACAAATCGATGAACAACGGGAGGACCGTGACCATGACTGGGTATTTTTGTGATATCACAGACTTCCTCATCTAATACTTATAATAATTCAACAATGTCTAATCCCCTTTTGACACATTTGTGCCTGGGACCCGTAGAGGTTGGAATCTATCTAGAGTTACCAGCTAGCAAGAGACAAGGTCAGGCGGCACATCTCAGTCTGTCGGGCTCTAAAGCAGACACTTCCAAGCAGCTAGGCCTTCTCTGAGCTCTATCCTGCTTCCTGTTACCTGTCTTAGTTTGCAAAATAAATGGCAGTAGATGTCCTTAAAGAATAGGCATGGGGTAAAAGTTAAATATATGAACAAATGAAAACATCAGAACAACCAACCAGCCCTCTGCTAACCCTTCCTGGAAGGGTGAGGTGTTTGAAATCAGGGTCCTGGCAGCCTGGCACTATTATTTCTTGGGCGTAGAATGCTGGGTGAGTACTCACACTTCCTTAGACCTCATTCTTCTCCTCCAGCAAAAGTAGCACCCATCTGGTATTGTCTGGGGAAGATAGGTAATCTGTGGAAGCCTCCAGCATTCTGTGGGTGCTTGCTGAGCCACTGCTGTCTTTACCGCCACTGCTGCTTCTGACCTGGCAGAGGACGGTGACTTCTCACAAGCATTTACCAGGTTCTTGACTCCTGTCACTGTTGGCATAGATCTAAGGAGTTAGGACAGGGTCCCCCTGAGTTTCCCAGGCTAGCCCACCAAGGGACAGTGCCCACCTCTTAGTGCTGTGCTGCCTTCTGCACTTTGGGTGCACCAGTGCCACCTGGTGGCAACATGTCCTGCCCTGAGAGAAGGTCCCCTAGGCAGAGGAACCTGTGTGGCCCTGGCTTGTGTCACCTCCCACAGTCCCGTGGGAAACAGACCACAGCTACCTACAGGCTCCCAACTTCCTCAGTCTCCTTCTCTACGCAGCGAGGACGGCGGTGAAGCTGGGGTTCAGAGAGACCCAAGGGGCTATGCAGATCCCCACTGTGCCCTCTCTCAGGTCTCCACAACTGGAACTTAGCCTTGACTCAGTCTTGGGTTATTCTGCTAGGGTGGGGTTTGATCTGGAGAAGACAGGTCAGAGGCAGTGGGCATGCAGGCTGTTGGATGGGTTTTTTCGTGACTGCCTCTTTTTAGAGTAAGCTCTGTTCGTTCTAGTAGCTGCTTTACTGATGCCGGTTAACACTGCAGCTCAGCAGGTTGACCCATGGTGGGGGGGAGGAGGAGTTCTGGTGGGGGGAGGAGGAGGAGGAGGAGGAGGGGGAGGAGAAGATGATGAACTTCCTGGGTACGCAAAGCCATGCCAGCACTGTCTGGTTCCTGGAGGAGGTGTGCTGTATTGTTTTTTATAGCTAGCATTCGCCAGGCTTTTCTGATATGTTATATGTTGCAGTAAGTGTGTAATCTGACAGGCACATTTTAAAGTTTGGTTGTAGTTTGGGTCTCATGTTTTCAGTGTCGTTGACTATGTGGTTTGGATACATCACTGTAACACACCTCCATATTGCTGATGTACTCGAAGTCCTTGACTCCTGCTCCCTTTGGGGAGATTTTCTTTGAACTGAAAGGAATTCTTTGGGAGAAGTATTCTTGCATTTCTCCTTCCTCTCTGGCTTTGTAGACATCCACTTTCACCATTTTATTAAAAGTCCTTTCTTTCTTTCTCCCCACTCCTCACCCTCCCTATTTGGAGGGTTCATTCCAAGTAGGGGGGTGGGCACCTGGGTTATGCTCAGTGGGTGCTGAGAATTGTTCTCAGGGCCTCATACAGGCAAACCATCCACTCCACTCTGGTCCTCCACTCTCGAATCTCATTTTTAAATTTTTATTATTTTTTAGCAGACTCTAAGTGTATAATATGTTCCTCTCTGACTCAGTGCATCAGTGATAGGGTGGGAACAAACACGAACTACTCAGGCCTTCTTTCCTGCCAGCTCCCTGCTACATCCTAGGTACAGTCAGGACCAGGAGAGGCTTGGCCAAGTCTTATACATGGTGAGCTAGGGGGCTGGGAAAATTGAAGGGGTGGCCCTTCTCATTCTCCTACTGGAACTCTTGTCTAGTTTAATTTTCATTCCAGAGTCCAGTACTGACTGGCCAGTCAGGCACTGGTCAGTGGGAGCAGTTGGACGGAGTTGCCCAACAGCTTCCAGATGCTTCAGCAAAGAATCTGTGAAGAGGCCTCTGAAGACTTTGGGCCCCTCTAGGCAGCCTCACGCATGCGGCCCAGGGTCAGAGGCACCTCCGTCAGGAAGCACTGAGGCACATGTTTGCCAAGTGCCTGGCCAGGGCTGGAGCTCTTGAGTGGGTGGTGAAAAACCCATAGTTCCAGCTTCCTGGTTTCAGTTACTGGGACTTTTGTGCTGGACAATTTTTTCTGCTTGTGTATCTCTGGCTGGTTTTCTCCCTGAGGGGGTCACTGTAAGGAAATGGAAATGCATTTTCCTTCTTGACTTACTTTCTCTCAGAGCCCCTGAGGGCTTCCTGCTATTTCTTGCCTCTTTTCTTTAACCACCTCCTCTCAATATTTATCTAAACAGTGTTAAGATCAATTTTAGGATCAGGAGGAATGTGGGAGGAAGCTTCCAGAACCATTAATCTATTTTGTTCTGCTTCCTCTCATTTAAACCGGCAAACACACACACACACACACACACACACACACACACACACACACACACACACACCTCCCTAGTGAGGTTGTAGGTTGCTTTGCCCATTTCATAGAAGAGGAAACTTGAGTCTCAGAGGAGTCGCATGTCATGCTTAAATTTGGGGAGAGGGGATAGGAGACCACATCTGGAGGTTCTCAGGGCTTACTCCTGGCTCTGTGCTCAGGGATTGCTTCTGGCTCTGTGCTCAGGGATTGCTCCTGGCGGGGCTCATGGGACTGTCTGGGTGTGCAGGAACCGAGCCCTGGTCAGCCACATGCAAGTCTAGAGCCCTACCCACTGTACTGTCTCACTGACTCCAGTGCGGAGATTTTTATATCTGTTTGTTTTAGCCTAAATTTAACAAACTCTGCTGTGCATTTGACTCACCAGAAGTAGACAGTGAGTGCTAATGCCATAGATTTTAGCTTGTATCAAGTTGCTGCTCAGTGCCCACTTCCTACAGTGCCCTGGGAGTGAGATGCCAGGTGTGGGCGTAGAGGAGTGTGTTGACTTACTCATCCCAGCGAGACAGCCCCAGACGGCTTGACCTCAGCATGACTATCGCTTGTTATCCCCAGACAGTTGAAGAAGAAGCGCTGATAAAAAATAACAACACCTGTAAGGACTTCCTCATCGAGGCCATGAAGTATCATCTCCTCCCCCTAGACCAGAGGCTCTTGATTAAGAACCCCAGGACCAAGCCCCGGACTCCGGTCAGCCTGCCCAAGGTAAGCCTCAGCCCGGCCACTGCCATGCATGGGCTCGCACCCAGAGCCTGGTTCTTCCTCTACTGCTTCCGTGTCTCTCCTCCCAGGGCTGCCCTTCTTCTTGGTTGCTTTCCCCACCTAGAACAGAGTCTGCTGGTTCCTTTTGACTCTCCTACTACCACGCTCCTTGGGGGTCTTCTCTCCCTAAGAATTTCAAGGTAACCTCTGGTATCATCAGGGAGGTCTGATCATGACTTGGAGTCCTTCCCTCTCCTCTCCTTGTGCTCTGTGGATTGTGCTCTTCGACAATCCGCACAACAGGAAATGATGGTTGGGTTCTGGTAAGGAGCACCAGGGGTACAGAAAGGAGCATAGAAGGAACCCCCAAATCAAAATTTGCCTGAGTAATGGCTGCTTAGCTTTCCCTGCAAATCCTCTCCCCTCGGGTCCTCAGGTCCTTTCCGTGCAGGACGAAGACAGAGCTCTAGAAGGCCTGTAAAGGCCTTTCTGACTGCATGTTCCAAGTGTTTCTAGAATGCAAACATTACACCTGGGGGGAGGTCCCAGCTGCCTCGAGAGAACAAAGTGGGGAGTGAGTGACTTTGGTGCACAGCTGTGGCGTGGGCAGCTTCAGGAAATGACCAAGACCCCTCTTTCTCTTCCTGCTCTTTCTCATTGGTTGCTCATCCCCTTTACTGCTGCTTCCAGAAGGACTTCACAGGGCTAGAGAAGCATGTAGGAGATGTGTGGGTTCTCCAAGGCCCTGGAGAACAGAGTGCATCAAATGTGAAGGAAGATTATAAATATCCAGCTAATAGTACACATAGCTGACCTTTAGTGAGCATTTACTAAGTTCCTAGCAGTGAGCTCAAAGCATCATGTATATATTTAATTTAATTGCCTCAACAGCCCTGTAAGGTAGACACAGTTACTCTACAAAGAGAAAATGAAGGTTCAGAGCGATAAAGTCACTAACCCATGAGCTTCACAACTAATGAGTTAGATCCAGAATTTGACATCTCTCTCCAGCCTGAGTCAGCATTTGAACTGAATCTTCTTCACCTTCTAAAATCATTTTCTGAACCTGTCTCAGCCTTTACCTGGCCTCAGCCTTGTACACCTGGGTGTGTATTCCTGAGGCTCGGCTGCGGAGCATGGGCCTTTTCTAGGAGGCTCATTTGCCTGTCACGTGTGGATATCTTTTGTTCTACTAAAATGTCACATGGAAACTTCTCTATTTTACAAAACTGAAAATAATTGGACTTCCTTTAATCAGAAACGTGCTCATTTAGATATTAAAAGGACTCCGCAATTTTGAAACACAGGGCTGACTGTAGCCGTCATTGTAGTGAATTTTCCCCAGACATTCCTCTGTGAATATATTCTTACATATATAACAACTTTCACTTTTGGGTAAATAAAACTTCGCTGTACAGATTGAAATATTTTTTTCCTACTCCACTAGTTGTTAATAGAATATTTTCAATGTTACCAGTATAATGAAGTTATTATTTAAATTGTAATACGTGCGTGATTTTAAATTATATTTATGTACCATTATTTTATTTATTTAGCTTATTTGTTGATTGACTTGGCAGTAATTTCTCTTTTGGGGGAGAGAGGTTTGGGCCACACCTGCAGTGCTTGGGAACTATTCCTAGTGTGGCGCTGAGGGGTCGCTCTGACAGTGCACAGGGAATCAGGTGGTGCCAGGGACTGAAACGATGTACTCTAGCCCTTTAGCATTTCCTTGTCCCTGGTTTCTAGTTTTTAAATATCACAGCCATTTCTTTGTCAAATATTTTGTTTTGTTTTGAGGCCATACCCGGTTGTGCTCAAAGCTTATTCCTGGCTTTTTGCTCAATGAGCACTCCTGGTGATTTCGGGGACTATATGAGGTGCCTGGGATCCAACCTAGGTAAGCTGCTCCCAAGGCAAACACCTTACCCTGTCTACCCTTCCCCCAGAAACTTGTAGGTAGACAGATTGATTTCTCGTCCACTTTAGTGGCTATGCTTTATGTCAAGCTTTGAAATTATTTCCCTACTCTGAGATTTATAGGAAATTACTCCTACGTTTTGTTCAAATGCTCTCATTACTTCTCCTTAACATTCAAATCACTGATGCATTTAGAAGTTATTTTGGTGCAAGAAGCCAGGGTCAAAATCCCTCCTCTACTTATATTGTAGTTGATGAGCTGGATCTGATCCAGAGCAATTTTATGAAATAATCTTCTTCTGTCCCATAGATTTGAAGAACACCTTCATTGTGATCTGAATTTCTATAGGCCTTGTGTCTGGAGAATATTGATTCTAAAGTGCACTGTTGTTGCACACGGCAGAGGGCCTCACACCAAGGACAGGGTGTGTGTAGAGTGGGCGTGTGTGTTTGGGCATCACCTGTGGGTGCTGCTCCTGGGCTGCTTCCAGCCTTGGGCTCAAAGGGGGTTCTCAGAAATGTTTTGTGTGGTGCTAGGCATTGAACCCTGAACTCCAGCATGCAAAGCATGTGCTCCCTCCCTTTGCGCAGTTTTCAGACTCTTCAGCCAGGTTTCCACGTGACCTTGCTGCTTTCCTCGTGACTCTTTCCTTTGGAATCGGGTTTCCAGCCTTCATGGTATGAGGTTAACGACACCTTTGCCTGAGAAGAGTGTCCTGGAGGTGAGGAAGTGACACAGAGCTTGCCCATTGACTCTTCTTTCTAGACTCCACATCTAGATTGTACCATATACCGTATACACTCACAAAAGTGACATCTAGATTTTATCACATACACCCACAAAAATGACAATTTTCAAACTCAGAGCCCAGTGAGTGACTGGGCCTGGCCTGTGGCTTCTGGGATCGCCACTCTCAGCTTTCTGGATCTGAATTCTTGTAGTTGAGGGGAGCCATTCTTGTTTGCCCCTCTGCCATCTTACCTCCAGAGGAAATGGCCTCTTTTCAGAATGAAGACACTGTGATTTATGGGATGCTGGAATCATAACTTCCTTTGAATTTGTTGAGGGAATAGAGAGACACCACAGCTCTTCACCCCTGACTAACCCTTGGCTAATGTTAGTCTCTGATGTTCAACATGCTTCTTAAACTCTGCTCCAGTTGCTTTTGTTTGGGTGATTATATTAAGGAGAGGACCCCCATTGTGGGTTTGAGGAATAGGGTATGCTGAGGGAATCTCTTTGAGGACAATCAGATTTTATGTTCCCTCAGAGATCATCACAATAACAAAACAGTTCTGTGCTTTCTTCACTATGTTTACAAAGAAGGGTTAAATCAGTCACTCCGTTTCACCTGCAAAGTGCAGCATGATGGTTTGAGCCAGTGTCTTTACTCTTCCATACCCTAAGTAAAAAGGCCCTCCTGTTGATCATTGATTTGCTCGAGCGGGCCCTGTAACGTCTCCATTGGAGACTTTGTTGTTACTGTGTTTGGCATGTCGAATACGTCACGGGGAGCTTGCCAGGCTCTGCCGTGTGGGCGAGATACTCTCGGTAACTTGCCGGGCTCTCTGAGAGGGGCGGAGGAATCGAACTCGGGTCGGCCATGTTGGCTGCGTGCAAGGCAAACGCCCTACCACTGTGCTATCGCTCTAGCCCTATTTTTTTTTTTTATATCAAACTGCTTCACTAGGCTTATTTAGGTTTTGATAGCAGGTGAGAACTATGTCTTTTTTTTTTTTTTAAGAAAAAAAATCAGAAAATGTCTTTTGATTAACACACTATAACATTCCATTTATCTCATTGCTGAGACACTTTCTGCCCTTTTAAAATAAAACCTTTGTATGTTTAGAAGCAGTTTTAGGCTTATAGAAAAATTAGAAGATACAGCGATTTCCCGATTACCTTCTGCCCCACACGTCCAGGCACAGGCTCCCATTAGCTATGATCCAGATTTGTTTTCTAATCACTTCATATATACTGAGATAGAATAATTTATACTCGTGACTCTCACTCCTTTTAGGGGTTCAGCAGACAGATTTCGACAGATGCGTTGAGCCATGTAACTATACTCACAGTTACATATAGAAAGTTGCTCAAAACGTTTGGGGAAATAGCTCAGTGCAGATAGGCCTTGTATGTGGAGGCCCTGCTTTGGTCTCCAGTCTCATAAGTTTCCCCAGCGCTGCCAGGTCTGAACTTTGACCCCTCTAGTCATGCATAGCTCATTGGTCCCCTGAGCACTGCTTAGGAGGTCCCCCACAACCCCTGAAATGAAATTGCTAAGTTGTTTTTCAAGATGGTTTAGCACAGCGGGTTGGGCGTTCGCCTTACACGCGGCCAACATGGCCGACCCGAGTTCGATTCCTCCGCCCCTCTCGGAGAGCCTGGCAAGCTACCGAGAGTATTCGATATGCCAGACACAGTAACAACAAAGTCTCCAATGGAGACGTTACTGGGCCCGCTCGAGCAAATCGACGATCAACGGGAGGGCCTTTACCTTTACCTTTACCTTACAATTGTACATTCCCACCAGCAATGTATGAGTTCCAGTTAGTAAAGTCTTACTGCTGCTTGTACTATTATTTTTATAAAATTTGATATTTTTTGGTATCTCACTATGATTTTAAGTTGCGTTTATATAATGACTATTGAATTTTTTTATGTGGTTACTGTCATGTGCATTCTTTGGTGATGTGATGCTTCAGATATTTTATCCTTGTTAAATTTTTTTTTCTTACTGAATTATAACAGTTTATTACATACTGTTGATACCTGTGTATAATCAGATACATATTGTGCAAATATTTTTCCAGCCTATGCCTTGTCTTTTAATTTTCTTAACAATCTCTTTGGAAGAGTAGAAGTTTTAAATTTTATTGCTTTTTGTAGTGATTTATGTATTTTGTATAACAAATCTTTGCCTAATCTAAGATCACAAAGTTTTTCTCCTGTGTGTCCTTCTAGAAATTTAAAGTTTTAAATTTTACATTTAGGTCATTGGGTGATTTTTATATTCTTTAAAATTGTTATTATTATTATTATTATTATTATTATTATTAGTGCTTGGGTCAAAGCCAGGCCT